CAATGCCCATGGAGGGATGTGTACAGCTTTGGATGTGTCCTCTAACTGTCATACAATGGCTTTTGGTGATTCAAGTGGATATTTRCACTTGTGGGGAGACACAAAAGTTGCTGATCTGTGTTACAATAATTTTTCTATACCAACTGAATTTGCAACCGAGGTAGAATTACATGTAACTATAATTATTATAGTTAATTGATGTTTTAATTCCATTGATTAATTCACTCATCCATAAGTGTATTCATTAAGTAGTTTCAAACTTTTCTTCATCACAATTAGTTGACATTCCTTCCTTCTTTCATTTCTTATTTCTTTCTGTCCTTTCGTCCTTGGCTCCTTCCTTCTTTCTTTTCTTCCAGGTTCCTTTCTTTCTTCACTCCTTCCTTCCTTCTTGTTACCATCCCTTCCTCTCCCTCTCTCTCTCTCACTCATACATCCATGCATTTGTCCATTCATCCATCAATTTTTCATCCATTCATTTGTTCACCTGTCCTTTCATTTGTTTATCTGTCCATTTATTTGGTCTTTTATCCATTCATTTGAATATCCATCCATTTATCTGTTCATTCATAATGCCATTCATTAGTTCAGTTACTAATTAATCCATCCACTGATATTTCCCTTCTACTGTTCATTCATCCATTCATTTATTCCCAGGTACCAAGGACGCAGCACCTGTCAATTGATGACTATTCTGTACCTCTTTCATCATTTCCACTGCCATATTCAAAGTAAGTAACACTAAAACTTAATCAAAAACTACCATGTTCACGATTTTCTTTGTAGAAATACTAGGACTTAGAAAATTTCATCTTGAAGTAATGGATCTAGTTTTAAACTAAGATACTCAGTCCTTTGGTTCTAAACTGCGGATTTTTGTGTGCGTAAAGAACTGAGTATCTTAAAACTAGATCCATTACTTCAAGATGAGATTTTCTTTGTCTTGCCATTATTATAGCAAATTATTACATAAATGTACTATTTCAGTGAACCTTTGTTCTCTAACTGGCCATCAAATAACTACATCCGTGAAGACAGGTATGTAGGGTCCATGAACATTTGTACTTGCAGTTCTATTATACCTAAACATGAAAATTATGTGTAACTAGGAGGAAATGATGAAGTTGCTGGAGAAACATAACACATAGAGAAAACTAAAACAACCAAACACGAATAAATCTGGAGCAGAACTGTTAATAAATAAATAAAAAATAAAAAAAATCGCGCGCGTTGCAAACATGATCGCATACGTAATTTGCCAAATATGGATTACAATGTAACGCAATCAAGACCTTGTCACAAACGTTTTATAACTCTCCGTTTACATTTTTTCCCATGTTAGGAATCCTATTGCAATAGACCCTGAGATTCTACGTACCATGGTAGTCAGACATTTTATTGGTTATGCTCCAAATCCTGGAAACAAAAGAAGAAACCAGGTATATTTATAAAACGGGTGTTCAAATTGTAATTAAGTCTGTCTCATAGCCTGAGTAGTAATTTTTCTCTACAACATTATAATATATATTTTATTTATTTTTTTTTTTTTTTTTTGTTTTTCTCTTTGTTTTGACGAAATGTTTCTTGATATTGTACCTCATTGTCAAACCCGAAGATTTAGCTCGGGCTAATGAAATCGAAATAGTCTAGGTTGATATATCTAAGTCTGTAATTATTTTAATTTTATTCAAATTCGTTTTCAGTGGCCATATCAAAACAAACCAGGTCACTATTCAGCTCAGAATAGAAAAAAAGATGAAAGTGATGTTCCGGAGTCTCCAATGAGCAGAGGTAAAACAATATATAATGAATCTATTACTAGCTGGAGCGCAAGTAGATTCTAGACTCTAAATTGTGCTAATAGACTTTTGAACCTGTTACGCCACTACTTGATTTTCAATGCATTGTGGAATCAGTTTCTAGAGGAAACAAACGAAATCCGCCTTGTTCTTTCCCAAACATATCCTACGATGCATTGCGTACATAAGGTAATGACATAACACTTTTTTTGTCTTTTCCTAATAAACTAGATGATGATCCTTCTATTCTAATACCCAAGGCGTATAGACGTGTAGAAATGAAATATTCAAAATTAGGTAAGCAGTATTTGCTCATGTATCTTTGTCTGCACGATTCCTTGCACAATGTCATAGTTGTGACCATTTGGATAAATGTTTGAGCCAATTTCGTATTTGGCTGTGCAATGGTATAGATCAAAGCATGGTCACAGAAACTTGCCTTGTTGCGATTTCAAATAAAAGTAATAATTCAAGAACACATCATTGCCACGGCACAGTTATGCAAAATACTCATTATTCAACGGTCTAAATACCTCTGGCACTGTTTGGTGTCTGTGCTGCGTGTTCTTTTTAGGCACAGTCACACTATTACATATTCTTACAGATACAGTATGTGCAAAACTTGCTCAATACCACCCCAGACACTCTCCAATCCAAACACGTTCTGTTTAAAGTCCAAGCCGCATCACTATGAACTTTTTTTTATTCTTAGTCGAATAATAAGTTCTTTAATGCTCTTCTTGACAGTGCAGTAATGTCGTAAACCATTCGAGGACACGAGATTCGAATAATAATGTGTTATTTTTTTCCTTTTTCATTTAAAGGACTKGAAGACTTTGACTTYGGACACTACAATAAAACAAAATTCGCAGGCTTAGAAATCCATATCCCAAATGCATATTGCAACGCTATGTTGCAGGTTAGTATTATACAGACTAATTTGTCTACACCGTAATTTAGTTTTCATACCATATTAGGTAGCCCGCGCAGCAGACTGTAAGTGAGGGGGGAGCGGAAAAACGGAAGAGTGGGGTTCGGGGGAAGCGGTGCCCTTCCCTTCCGTTTTCCCCCTTTCCCTCTCTCAGTCTCCCCTAGAACCACTACGCAGACTACTTTTCAGKATAAATTGAATGCACTCTATTTAATATACCTACAGTATATTGCAAGTACAAGCACAATCACAATCACAATCGTCCTTTATTTTACGCGCAGGTGCTGTATTTCCTGGAACCATTACGAGTGAGTCTACAAAAYCATATCTGTAAGCGTGAATTCTGCCTGGCATGTGAACTAGGGTTCTTATTCTACATGTTGGATCAGTCTACAGGTGCTCCATGCCAGGTAATGCATACAAACTGAATATCAAGGGGTATGTAAACCATTGCCAACATTTAAAAATTGGTCTGAATTTATTAGAAGGGTGGCTGCAAGTTTGAGAAAATACGTTGAAAATTCAAGCAAGATATAACACTTCAAAAGACAACAGATTGTACAAAGTTAAAAAGTTGCGAACGGTTTTGGGTTGCATGTCCTCTTATTAACTGTTCGAATTTTTAGTCGTTGTTTCTCGATCTTCACTTTGTCTAAGCACTGACAACTTGTCGTGCAACACAAGATAGGACATGAAAAACGAGGAACACTGACTCTAAATTTGAGCAGCAACAATGTTARCGACAAGCTGAGGCTTTTTAAATCGCGTATTTCTCGACCTTCACCATGACTACGTTGAAGAATTACCGTTATTTTTCAGGCCAGTAATTTTTTGAGAGCGTTCCGCACCATTCCCCAGGCMTCAGCTCTCGGACTTGTGATGAACGATATYGACGAGTCYGCTGGAAATGCTAACTTTCCTCGMTTGATCCAAAGCTGGATACGTTTCGTTCTGCAACAGAGTCACCAGGTATGCTATTTTGTTTACACTATTCTTGTATAAATAATTCCTAATAGGATTTGCGTTTAAAATTATGTAGGATACCTTAGAACCAAAAGTGGTCCCAGAAGGTAAACCTGAGGAACACCCTGAACAGTAAGTGCAAAAAAAAAAAATAATAATAATAATAAATAAGTAAGTTGTTGTGTTCAACTTTTATACCCTTAAARTGGTGGGAACTAGCGGTAAACTAGTGTGAGCTGCGTCGGTGTTTCTAAAGAAACAGTTATGTAAAAAGATAAATTTAATACCGTAAAAAAAGTATGTGAAATAACTTACTTACGTTTCGGACGTTAATCCTTCGTCGGAGTAACGAAGGATTCGACGAAGGATTAACGTCCGAAACGTCAGTAAGTTATTTCACATACTTTTTTTACGGTGTTAAATTTATCTTTTTACATAACTGTTTCTTTTATACCCTTAGTTTCTACGTCTCCCTTCCTCCAGGATTCATTATTTTGACTGACGTGGTGCTCATCATTCTTATATTTTATCAACTTTGAATTCTCTCAACAGAGCTCCAGAGAAAGCAGAAAATACGTCAGTAGTCGAAAGACTTTTTGGAGCTGATGTTGAACAGTGGAACAAATGCCGTTGTGGCAAGGACACTACTAGAAAGTCATCGTCATTGATATATGACTTGGAATATCCACAGATGCTAGGTAACCTATCTATATGTCAAGTAAAAGACTTATAGAGTGCAAGTTACACTACACGCGTGAAAAAATATTAGAATACGCACACTAAAGCGTGAAAAAGTAACAGAGGGCAAACACCAAAAGGGAAAAAAAGTACTAGAGTGCACACACTAATTCCGTGAAAAAGTAGAGTGCTCATAACAAAAGCGCAAAAAGAGTGGAAACRCCAAATGCGTAAAAAAGTACTATACAAATAGGTCTAACTAACTAATTAACGCAATAGACTACAGTTTACGAAACAGTAGAAAGCAAATTAGCATAATTCAGTATAATTTAACTTAATTTGAATACTAAACTTTTTCATGGTTTTAGTGTTATCACTTTAGTATCAACCAACCTGTATCATATCTAAAAGTTTTGAGTTGCTAATTTATAGTCTCGATGTTTAAGTAATGGAATCGTTTTCAGACCTTGTCAGTCCGCACATTGATTTATACCAGTCTGAGGCAAAGCCGAGTAAAGAGAGACAAGGCATCTGGTTTGATGTCTAACATTGAATCAAATGCCGCAACGTGATGATTTTATTTGTTCACGGKTTAGGGAAGCCAGAGAACACAGCAGTTTCATTCGAGTCSTTAATCGAATCTACGTTATGCCGTGAACAATCCATGCAGGCATGGTGCGATAAATGTGGTCGCTATCAACCTACGGTAAGTCGCAGTACGACCACCAAATTGAATTGTCCGTAATATAGAAGTTTCTGTAATGATTATGTCATGCGCTTTCAAGAACTACAGTTTGGGCTAGATGCATCCCAGCGAGGTCGAAATTTTGAAATTAATTTTTCCGAATTTATTTCCAAGGTTCATTCTCCCGGACATAGTTAATAGCTAACTATGTCCCGGAATAGCCTCCTTCCTAGCACTATATCCTTTATTTAAGGAATAAAAAACAGTTTTCCATTTTACAGTTTTTTATACTCTGATAAAAACACGCGGGATGTGGGGAGAACACGAGAGAAGCGTAGAAAACCACGACGCGAATGTTTTTTATTGCTTTTATAAAAAAAACAAGCGCTCAAATATTCATGAGAAAAAAAAAGCCGAGAAAATGACGCGAGCGTGTATTATGCTCTCATCAAACACGGCTTTTTGGCCAATCAGAGCGCGCGTAATATAAAAGTTATTTTATAATTCTTTATCATAAACATTAAATTGTCAGGTTGCGTGTGAGTCTAAATTTCGAGCTATTGTAGCTTTCAAATCACAGTTTGTGGTTTTTAGCAATTTTTCGAAATATATAGAGGGACGTTGCTAAAAAGTCACAAATTGCACCTAGCTTGGGATACCTGTGTTAAAATAAGAGTTTCATTTAGTGGTTTATTCATTATTTTTTTGTATTTCATCTATTGTAGGTTCAAACTCGTAAGGTAACCAGTTTACCAGACGTTTTGGCTTTCAACTGCCACGTAGACCATCCAAATGAAAGCGATCTTTGGAAAACGCAACAAAAGGTACGTATCTCTCACGTGGATCCTTTTTGTGGTTACCTTCATCGTATGATGGAAATCACTATGCTATCCTACTGTAATTAAGCAAGGAAGTACATAAGTTATATGAAGAGGTTATATTACAGACTACAAGTAGTTGCGACTTGCCCCTGAGTATTGATATTTGCTAACCCCCTGCGCTGAGAAATACATAGCACTTGGATTGAAGAAGACACAGAAGTCTTTTTAACGACTTTTTTCTTATGAACGTCAGCTTCTTAGCGTCCCTCATCACGAAGAAAAACCAGTACAAACCACAAAACCTTGCAGATATGGCGAAAACTGTACAAGAGCAGGATGCAAGTTCCGTCACGACGTGTTAGTATCACTATTAGAATACGTAAGACATTACGTAAACGTGCGTATATAATCAACGTGTACAATCAATAGTATATGATTTCATGAAGTAATATGTTGAAGATGGTCACGTTTACGTAATGGGTACGTGTGTATTGTACGTAATGGTTGGATTTGTATATTTTATTACGTTGTATACGTTAACGTTATGTCTTATAATTACCTTAACGTTTCAGTGTCATAGTGGAGACGGATGAAGACCCTAAGTCGTGGATTCCTTTTGTAATAAAAATAGCATCGTCTGACAATGGTCAGCTGTTAGTATCTAAAGTGGAAGAGGTGGGTTGGTAACTATATCATGTGATCTCTTTGTTCACACCTTCATCAAAAATTGACCAAGCCGGCCAACATGTTTGCTGTAGCCCTCAAATGAACAAGAGTGGCATGTCATGTCAAAACTATGACTTTTCAAAAACATATCTTTTCACATTGCGAAAATATAAACAAGCTCAAGAAGGACAATGTTTGGGTTGTTGCGCGATTCTGCTTCTCTCTGGTGCAAAACCACAGGCCCCTCATGCAACTTGTTTTCTAACTGCGAAAAGGGCTATTGCTTAATTGAATAATTGACTTGTACTTTGTAGAAATATTAGTTGTTTGAACGTGTTCTTTGTCAATCCTAAAGGGCGAGAATTGTAAGAAAGTCAAATGTGGAGAAAACGAAGTGATCTATGACCTCCATGCTACAGTAGGGTTTATACAAGACCCTAAAGCAGGCGGGAACCTCGTGGCCCATGTTCACGTTGGAACAACATACCACAGTAGAAAAGAAGTAAGTTTCGTAAAAATTTGGGTCTATTTACTGGCGCCATCTTGAATTATCATGAAGAAATTATGGGATTTCAACGACGGAAAAGCTCACATTTTATGTAGAATATTACTGAGAAATATCATTTCTGTAATTTCTTTCAGATTTTGAATTATTTCAAAATATCCGAATCCGTTGCATTTTCTCATGTTGTATGATATTGAATCTAATAGAATTTTCAAAGCCGTACAATCTATAAATGTCTTGTTTATTGCCCCTGAGCATCACATATTTCTCACAGAATCGATACTGAAAAAAATAGTGACTGTATTGATTATTCATCATGTTTACAAATGACAGCCTTGGTTTTGAATGTGTGCGTCTAGAATTATAAGTGTCTCACAAAATTTGTCTTTACAGGGCGTTACGTGTGATCAGTGGTATCTATTTAACGACTTTGCMATCACACCAATATCTCCGGTAAGTRAAAAAATCATTCACAATTTTATAGTTCTTTGCGCCGTCTTGAAAGGTAGCCGTGCCTTTACATCAAAGACAGGCACCAGTTGAGTTTACGATAATACCTAAATTTGTCAGTGCAAGTTCAACCGCTATTTCACATGGATTCCAAGCCTCTTCGACCACATTTCAAAATGGTGATCGGAACTGTGAAATGGAGCAGTCACCGTTTAATTCCCAGACAATTTAGTAGGCTTTATTGGTCACATATTCTTGCACATAGCATTATTGACAACTCGATTGATATAAGAAAACACCAGGAAAATCTCCATGAGAATAGATTCCTCGGTGAATAAGGAAAAAGCGGAGTCTGACTGGTGTCATACTTACAGTCTCACATTTGAACCGAGATTTTAAACTTCAAGTTTACTAATACAAAATGTTTCCTTCACGTTTACTAATATACAATGTTTGTTTGTTTTTCTTTTAGATTGAAGCGGCTGTTTTTAACTTAGACTGGAAATTACCTTGTAGTATAATGTACATTAGAAGAGATCTTAACAGCAGACATGATCTTAAAAGTAAGTATGACAACATCTCATGCACGTGGTCTTAAAGGACCACGTGGATCCAAGAACCTCTGCGATCGTTTCTTTTGATTTACAAATGATCTCTTGTTGAAAGTTGCTTTCTGATTAATTCAAATTCAAATATGGTGAATTTTCAGTGWGAAAATCACACAAAGCAAAAACTCAAAGGTTCATGGATGAAACTGTAAATTTCCTAAAAATTGTGGGGTCTATGGCAGGCCCTTCCTTTTTTTCTCTTCCCCAATCTCCCCTCGGTTCTCCCCAGTCCCCTTAGGGTCGCTACGCAGGCTAGGATGCATGTGGGCTTTAAATAAATAGGTTATAATTTAATACTCTTCTCTTGCTAGTTCGGCAGACCATCGATGACAGTATATTGTTCAAAGACCATTCCGTTTCCGAGAAACAGGGTCGTTCAAAAGCGTTCACACGTCTCACACCTGATGAGCTACCAGGAGAAGGTGCTCTTGTTGCCCTTGATGCTGAGTTTGTTACATTAAATCAGGTAAATCAAATTAACTTTTGCGAGAGAGAGAGAGAGATTTTTCTATCGGCATTTCAAAATTAGAYTATTGATAACTGTGACTGGTCCTAACAACTTATTAGCTTCTTATAGTTATTTGTTAGGCCCAGTCCCTAAATTACACTTTATTTATAACGTTCAACCTTTACCTTATTTTGTAAACTATATGGTACGAATAAATACATTGTTGTTGTTATTGAGAGAAATAGGAAGAGGAAGATCTCGGAACAATACAAAGATAATTAGATGAAGTTTGAGTGACATTCAATCGATCACCTTAATTAAGAAATACTGACGATCAAATTGCCCTTCCAAAATCTAATTTGGCCAGTAAAATGCCAAAATTGGCCTTTGAACTGGTGTATTTCTAGCCCTACTCTCATCAATACCAAGATGCACTTCGAAAGAAATATGACGTCATTAAGGGAAAAGGGCATTGCAAAGAGTTAAATATAGGCGACACGCATTATGATATCATTTACTACAACTGCCAGAATGCTTTGGCAACTTTCTTTTGTAATTCAATTAGTGCCAATTGTTTTATTAATCTCCAAGGGGATTAAAAATCTGAATAACAATGAAAATKCGCAAGGTTTTCTGKTAGTTGTAGTAAAGWTACGTCATAATGCAAATGGCCTATTGGTARTCTGGTTTGTAATCATAGGAAGAAGCCGAGATTAGAAGTGATGGGACGAGATCCACTATWAAGCCAAGCCAAATGAGCGCTGCTCGTATCACTGTTATACGAGGGTAAGATCGCCATGACATCGACCATATCACATGACTTGATTTAATTGTATTATTGTCCAATCACAGGGAGACTGGACCACTAGAGGGGGTACCATTTATTGATGATTACATCTCTACTTCAGAACAGGTTAGAAAAATAATAAACATCAAAATACATACTGTGATTTAAGATTTAATAGTTTTTGTTTTTTTTTCGCTTTACGGACACCCCGCTATTACGAACTCCTCGATATTACGGGCAGGAAATATTCGGCGAAAAATACAAAATAACACCGGCTATAATGGACTCTTGCTACTGCGGACGCTAGAGCGGATTTTGCATGACTGTGCAACGGCACGGATCACAACATGGACACGGCACGGCACGGTCGCGGAACCTCGCCTTCTTGGAATCCAAATGAAAATAAATAGAGCGGATTTCGTATGAGTGGGAAACGGACGGTACTGTACTGTGACTGTAATCGTACTGTAACCAAATTCTAGTGCCCCATTGGTTCACCAAAATTGTGCAGGCCAGGTAAGGTAACTGTGCGGTAACCGTGCGGTAACGGTGTCCCACTTATACGAAATCCGCTCTATTTAACAATGCATCACCGCTAGGACACGGTACGGTCACACCGCGAAAGTACCGTGTTTTTTGCACAGTCATACAAAATCCGCTCTAAATTACTGCCACGAGGGTGTTCTTAATAGCGAGAGTTGTCACAATCAAACAGAGGTCATTATAAACTGAGAATAAAGTAGATTGTATAATAGAGTTTCCCATACTCCACCTCGTTTTTAACCTCTGTTTTTCCTTATGAGTCAATGAGTCGAATGAGTTGTATTGTTTTTTATCTTTCAGGTTGTTGACTATCTTACCAAATTTTCTGGAATCAAACCTGGTGATCTTGATGCAACCATGTCATCGAAACACCTCACGACCCTCAAAACGACCTACCTCAAGATACGAGCCTTGGCAGACCGCAAAGTCAAGTTTATTGGTCACGGGCTGAAGAAGGACTTTCGCGTTATAAACTTGATGGTAATTTGATATCAAATTATTGCTTTTTGGCAAATTAATTTATCTACAAGAATTATAGATAATCACTGTTACCTCTGTGAAAATTTGAGTGCAATGGAATGGAAATTTGCGACGTAGTTGGAATTTAAAAATACGCGCGAAGCGATATTTATTACGATCGAAACACCTTAACGGAGTAACAGGAAGTAATTTGTTTGCATTTTCTTTTCAAGGTTCCAAAGGCACAGGTGTTTGATACAGTAGAGCTCTTCCATCTCCCAAGACAGAGATATCTTTCACTACGATTCCTTGCTTGGTATTTCCTAGGTGAGTACGAGCAATAATCGATATTTTCTCGTACAGCGATCAATATTATTTCGTGTTTTTTGTAATTCAGTTATGACTGCAATGGAAAAGACACTGGTGAAAAACGCACTGCGCATGCCCACAGCTTTCCCGCCAGTGGGCGCTCGCGTCTTGAAATCTGTAAACAGAGCGCCTGGCGATTTACAGCGACAACACAGAAAACACTACGAAAAACCTCATTTTCTCAAAGTAGAAATGACAAGATAAAAATAGAAACTACATACTAAAAGGACCTATCATGAACAATGATTGATGGAAATATGAATCTTATATATCGGTGAACGAGCTTATAAATTGTAAAAAAACTTACACAAAAATTGCTTTACAAAGGAAATTAGGCAGATTTCAGCGTGAACAGTGGACATGCGCAGTGCGTTTTTCACCAGTGTCAATGGAAAATAATATATTGACTGTTTATGTCATCTTGACTAATCGATTATTTTCCGTATAATTATAGACACTAATCGATATTTTCTCGTAGGTCTTAACATCCAATCAGAGACACACGACAGTATAGAAGACGCCTTAACAGCATTGAAACTTTACCGTAAGTACGTCGAACTCACAGCCGATAAGGAGCCGGCGGAGTTCAAGAAGGTCCTWAAACAACTTTATGAAGACGGTAGGAAATGTAACTGGAAAGTTGGTGGGAATAATGAAGACTGATTGACTTATTATAACTCGTTTTATATSAAAACCAARAGAGTGACCGACCAAAGTATTTACCCTAATTATTCGTACGTCCGTGACTGTAAAAAGAAGTGAATGTATAAARRGTCTTTCGGTTTGGAGGCCTTTATTATAACCAGATATAACGAAGTATGTTACAGCTTTTTTTTATAAAAACTTTAACTTCTAAATTAAAACCCGAAGTGCATTGTGGATAAGAACCGAGGTGCATTGTGGGTTCTCRCCTGTTCTTGAACGTTGAGAGAAGTGAAATTATCCCATAATGCATTTCGGTCTTGGAGTTGCATTTTAAAGATTCAACGTATTTAWAACTGCTGCATTCGTGGACATACTGTAAATCCTATACGTGTTTTATATCCACATCCGAGTTTCTCTTACTATATAAGTCTAATTATGGTGTAAATAGGTTCATCAAGCCATCAAGAAAAATAATATAAATAAACTAAAGTTATAAAAATAGTTGTAAGATCCTATAAAATGAATTTCCTWTTTTTTTTTTACAATATTTGAACTAGTTGGCAAAGTCATTAGGGTGCAAAAACTAAAACCATTTAAAWCTTCAGTCATTGAATAGCGCATTCGTTTGTTTTCTATTGGATATTTTACTATATTATATTGCGCTATTAGTACTGTTTGGTYAGCACAAGGCGGTTTTAGCATTGACACCCTAGTGGACATAGACTATAACTTCGATGACTGACACATGTCATCAACGTTACTGCGAATTTAWGTTCTTGATGTCCACCTCATAGACGCCATTTTGGATGAAAACGATATTTTTCGATATCTTTCTTCGTTATTTTTTTAGTCAAAAGAGAGTCCAAGTTCTGGCAAGTCTAGTTTGTAATTTCTTTATTATTCCAACATAGCGGCGACAAAAATCTCAAGAAAGCTGAGGATTCTGGTGCTAGMTGATTTTTAAAACTAGATTCTGGTTGGATAAACAGGTTTCAATATTTTCGTCTACAATTGACCTCCTCCGCACGCGTCTCTCCTTTTCAATTTTTTAATTTGAGTTTCATGTCTTACTCAATATGACCGATGGAGACCGTCTCAGTGTTACCCACAAAAAGATGAGCTCCCTGTTCGGTCAATACTGTACCAGAGGGATCCCAAAAGGTCAAAATGAAGTCTRCCCTGCGAAGGAGCCTAAATTAAAGCTACGAGGTCTCAGTACTCGGAAGTTTATAGTTGGCTACCAGCTGTTTTACTTTTATAACAAATGTCAGAAAGCTGAGACGGTATTCCTTGAGTAAATGATTTTGCTTGCCAAATCGAGAGTAATTTATCCGGCAAGTGCACAGTGGACCGGACCCAGCCGAGCCCACTCAGATAGAATCGTTTGAACGATCTAAAACTCGCTAATCGTACCAATATAATTGTCACCTTCTTCATTGAGCTTCGGCACTTTTGACAGCTTTTTTTTTTCACTACGTTTCGACGCCATTTTGGTCATGAATACGAGRCTCAGTGAAGAAAACAACAATGAACACCCAGACGTACAGAGAAGAGTTTTAGAAGGAACTTTACCAATACACTCGAAAAACATTAGTCAATCATTAATTCAAGAATACCAAGTAACAGACTTCAGAAGTTCACACATAAATATTAAAAAGTTTTTAACACTTCCTACTTTATAATAATAATAGTAAAACAAAATGAGCCCTAGTTTGTCGWACAAATCTACATCATACTTGCGATTGAGCTGTCAAATTACCATCCGCAACTGCTCCGTTTTCATGACAYTCCCCCAAGTCACCACCAATAGAACCATCCTTTCCGTCTTCAGAAATATTGATTCCTTTTGGGTAGTACGGCATGAACGGGATATACTTGGCAAACGCGAATGAACTAAGGCGATTCAWACCAAAAGGAAGGTTGTAAATGGTCATTGGTGCCAAAGTTGCTTTAGCCTTGTCGTTTTGTTCAGAAGCCATTTTACGCCACACAGTGAGCCCGCGTTCTTCGGGTGTTCCTGGAATTACGTTGTCCAGGAAAAGAGCAATAAAACCACCGACTGCCATGCCAGTTTTGAGCAACACTGAGATGATCTGGTCGATTTCGTTGACGCCTTTAATGGAAWKCAAATGGAGTAAATATTAATGAATTCAAAATTCCTTCCTCCCTTCCTTCCTCTRTCCCTTCCTTCTTTTCCTTCCGTTTTCTCTTCCTCCCTTCATTCGTTACTTTCCTCCGTTCGTTCSTTCTCCGCTTCCTTCCGACATTCCTTCCGTCAAATTGCCTCCCAKCCTTGTCATATTTCACCCACATACCTGTGTTAATAGCATTAGGATGGTTCTTCATGTAATTTGGCAAAGACAAGCCCATCAGTAGTGACAAACCAATTATGAAGATGTTCCTCGAAGAGTTCAAGTCCACAAACTGCAAGTTCGATATGCCAACCGCTCCTATGATCCCAAACATGACCATGAACACGCCTCCAACGATGGGGTCTGGGATGGTTGTGAACAGAGCACCTATCTTTCCAGTCACCCCTATGACTATCATAACCACCCCAGCAAACTGTAGAACACGGAGACTGCCAACCTTAGGTCGATAAGAATAATTAATGTTATAATAATAATGTAATAATTAATGTTTTTTTTCCTGCTATAATGACGTCCTGTTTTTTTGACGAATTGCATTATGGTATTGATAAACGTGATAAATCATTACTCTAATGACGTCATTTTTTTACGAAGTGCGCTATGGTATTGATTAACGTGAGTACGTAATCATGGCTCTAATGACGTCATTTTTTGGCGAGGTGCATTATGGTATTGACAGACGTATCAAGATGGATGATGTTTTATGAAAACCAAGAAGGATGAAGTTTCTTTGCGCGATTAGCTTTATTAAAAGTTTTTACTAATCGCGCAAAGAAACCTCATCCTTCTTGATTTTCATAAAGACATCGTCCATCTTGATACGTTTAAAACTTAAAACTTGTTCGTAAACGAGGGTTGTCCAATACTCTGACATATTTATGCATAGCATCGTACCTTGGTGATACTAATGGCTCCGATGTTCTCACTGTACGATGTTGTACCGTTACCACTCCCGACTATTCCAGTAATCAAGCATCCAATTCCTTCAATCCCGATTCCTCGATTTATCGCATGCTTTGGSGGAGGTGGTGCCCCGGAAAGTCTTGCGCATGCATAGTAGTCGCCAACTGATTCTATTATTGATGCAAGGACGCCGGCAAACATCCCAAAAACCCCTGCGGCACTGACGGTTGGTGTTCCCCACTGACCTAAATAAAGCTTGTCATCAATGGGTGATTGAGCGACTGAGTGAAGGATTGGTTGATTTACTGACTGACTGATTGAGTGGATGAGTGATTGATTGTGGTTCACGGATTGATTGATTGATTGACTGTGACTGACGGATTGATCGAGTGATTGATTGAGTGAGTGAGTGACTGTGATTGACGGATTGATTGATTGATTGAATGTGACTGAAGGATTGATTGATTGATTGATTGATTGATTGATTGATTGATTGATTGATTGATTGATTGATTGATTGACTATAGATAACACATAGATAGTGTAATACCTGGGTAAGGGACGCGAAACCACTTTGCTTCTTGAAGCACAATTGTTCTCCAGTCAATCCTTGCTTTAAAACCAGGTTCTTTGGGGTCAGATGGAAAACCCCCAGCAAACGTAACGATAGCACAGACGATCCACGACAACAGCATAGCAATGAAAATCTACAAATCACAATAGACGTACACAACATTAGATAGATAGATAGTAACTTTATTTAAACACGGTAAATTCATCAGATACAATTAAAATACTATAAAATACAGTTAAAATACTAATAAAGATAATAAATCTACTAAAAACAAAATACAATACTAATCAAAACTAACATAACTCTGCTTTACATGAATGCCGTGTGCATTACATGATATTCAAGCAAGACTGCTGAAGTTTCTTTGAATAATTTACGCTATGAGTCTTCTATTGGAAGTCGATGTGTTTGGAGGAGTCCCCTTACATGGCCTGCCTAAATACTTGAGTAYGTCAAAAAACGCGTCTGTGAAAAAACTAATGCTTGTTCGACAAAAAAATGAGACACCATAACCACTATTGAAAAACAACAGCGTGGTTCAGTTTGTACTTTCGTCAATCCCCCCCTGATGCATCTCGTCAACGTCAATTAGGAAAGGACCATCTCTAACAAGATATAACTTGGCAGTTATAATGGTGAAGCTAACTAAGGAAAGCTGGGTTAACAAGGAAAAGCGCTAAGAAGAAGACAGGCATGGTGCGAGAATGGATAAAACTACTTCGTCCTTTGGAGTAAGCCGCTGGAGGCCATATGCTGCAGTAGGAGTRAAAACGACCAAGCAAGTCCGTGACCTAAAAGCCTGGACGTTATAATGGGGTGATCGTATTACGCGGGTGTTCGTAATACGGGGTTCCACTTTATTCAGTTCACACCTATTGCCGAGCTTAAATGATAGTTTTATTCGCTGAGAGTATCATACCGGGAATAGCTTGAAACATGGAGCCCAAGCGATGTGAAAACCTTTTGTTGTATTCCACGATGGTAAAGGAACTTTGACATTCGACAAAACTTGCGARCACAGTGTGATAAASACTATRGTCCTGTGAATAAAAAGAAAAAAAGTTGAAATCTTCCAACTGWAGTGGCGATAGGTTAAGGARTAAGGAATGCGYAGAAATACAGTTTGATGTTGTTGTTTTTTCTGCGAGATTTGTTTGGGGGTTASCCACCGTCCCCTCCAAAACCTTTAAATAAGATAAACASCATCATACTTGTAGTCTATCAGGAGTTTTGGATAACAATGCGTCCGCCATCTTGAAAATTGAGACCCGAATTACTATSTTGTGCCTTAGARCACATTTTGTAGTTGCTACGTCAACTAATCTATCATTATATCGTAWTATATTAACTTGACATTATGCTGAGAAGCTTTTAATTTCTTAAGGAGTTATATTATAATTAAGTGGTTCGAGTCCCACTTTTCAAKATGGMGGACGCRTTATTCTCCGAAACTCGTGATGCATGTATAATTSTTCGACTTACGTCATTGATATTGCCCAGTGGTTACCTTTAAAAAAGAAACGAAATTTGAGCGATGTATTCGCCATATTTTAATCTAACTATAACTAGTGTGATAAAATCAATTCTCATTCGCATTTAAATCTACCACGTTTACATGTAARCTACTACTCCTYGATAGAGTGCAAGTCACATAAGCAYGAAACAATTCTTAACTATGTAGTGCTAAATAAGATTTAGTTATSAACTAACTAAGAATTGAGAACAATGCTACAAAGGRATTTAAATAATTGGCAWTGTGTTTATGCTTCGTTGAATTCTTAGTTAGTTGATAACTATATCATATTTAGCASTACATAGTTAAGAATTGCCCTATTTCATTATGACGTCACAGTATGTTTACATCGGAAAACGATGKTCAAAAACAGCGGAAATTTGGACCCATTTATATTGTCGACTAAAGTAGAACTTCAGTGAATCGTGTTTTGATATATATCATGTATAAATGATTGTTCATGTACATTTTATTTGAAATGCAGTCACTCTGATCCCTTCTGGCGACCATAATCCTTAGCGTYAAAACAATAGAATGTTTTGATGTGACGTCATTATGAACTAGGGCAATTGTTTCATGCTTATGTGACGTGCGCTCTAAGAGTAACTTTYTATCGTGTCAATGCAGCATCTGTCACTCGCTGTATGCATACACGATATTTATGGCTTATCAAGGACGAAGACACTCAACTGTGTAACTGAGACTCAAGGAGGAAAACACAAAGCACACCCATGATGCAATGTTTTACATATCAAATACACAGAGGAGGATTGGAAAATACCCCACAATGCAACTAAGTATCCCATAAGGTAATGGYGTCTTAATATTTATATCAAATGCAATAAGAAGCATTGGAAATATCCTATCATGCAACTAGGGCTCAGGGAGAATCTAAGTATCCCATAATGCAATATTGAAATTCTTAGGAGGGTGAGGATATATCCCAYAGTACGTTGCGTGYATTACCAGCGTGTTCAGCAGCTACATGAAATAGTGCCAGGCCWATTAAGGTGATGGTAGGAGCGACTGCAATGGGTCCAATAAATCGCAAAAAGAACCCAATAAGTCCAGTGAAGCCTATGAAAATTTGTAAGAGAGACGACACCACGATGGCACCTTGGATCTGGAAACATCAATAAAGAGATACTCCACTTGTAAACACAATAAACCTCTTTGCATTGCCTAAGAACCTAGAGTTTTCAGCCTATCGTGAAAAATCTAGGTTCTTAAATCAAAGTATTAGTATGTTATTCGTATTATATTTACATAGAATCTGCGGTACATGCATGAAAGTGCGCAACACTAGAGACTGGGGAGGGCTGAGTGGAGAATGGGCTTGTTCCYCCCCATTCTCYWCTMGGCCATCCYCAGACACCTTGTGCCGCTACGCARGCTAATGCTTGATAGTTAGAGGTCAATTTTCTTACCTCCCTCATTCGTATCTTCCAGACTTCATCACCATCAATACCACTACTCGAGTTGGTACTATTATTAGCTATACCTGTAGGAGAAAAAAGTATTAAATAACGCGAGCTTTGTTTGGCTAAACAATAGCGGAATAGCGCCATTGAATTTCTCATCAAGGCGGGGGATTTGGGAGAGGGAAAGCCTACTTTGCAGACGTTATTAGTATCATTCATTTTCCACTAAAAAGTGACCGATACTAATTAATAACGTCTGCAAAGGAGGCTAGTAGAGGGACCGATGCAAAATCTTAGGGTTGTCACCCAGTACAGACTGGTTGGGAAAGCAAGATATCGTATGGGAGGGGAGGGTGCTCGTTAAGTTTTGCTACTTACCAGATGTTCCACCTGTAGACGGGCATTGGAACCTTGGCAAGGAAAGAATGGCTAAAGTTGGTGCAAGAAATGAGAAGGTGCCACCTTGAAGAATTGGTAACCTGAATGAAAACGTAAAGCAAGGCATTGGTACAAGCGCTTTCGAAGAAACTCTTAGTGACGAAGCTGTAGATTACTCCTATTACTACTCCGTATTTTATTAACTCAAGTTGGCACTCTTCGCGAATGTGAAAGTGAGATGTTAACTCTGTCTATAACTCGCACTCGCTCTGATTCTATGACTTTTTGTCTCTATTTGCACATCGACTATTGCTTTTTGTTTCACGGTTTAAACATTTTTACTCCACAGCAACAATAGCGAACAATGTGTTGTCGCCAGCCTTAAATACGGTGTACATTTTCGATAAAAGGAGATGGAGAGAAACTAATGAAAATAAATTTGCAATGCATTAAAAAAAATCATCCGTAACTTTTGTTTACCTGATACCAAAGATGGTTTGGAAAATAGTGACAATCCCAGAGCAAAAGATCACAGTTCCGAAAACCTCTGCCACCACCAAGGGCTTGTCAGCAAAGCACATCGGTCCACTTAGGATRAATGGTATTGATAATGTCCCTCCAACCATCGTTAAATAATGCTGAAAATACAGTGTCTTCGTTATAAAAAGAGAATTTAAAGACCCAGTGCAAAACGAGAAAACCGAGTTCACCCGACGCCATTGMTAAACATTGTTTGGGGATTCAAACTATATTTTGAAAATCCAGCAAATTCAAATTGCTTCCGACCTTTATGGGCTTCACAGCACTTTAAAACAGGGCGGTTCGGTTGCTAAAAACTCCGCCTTTAAAAACGGCCATTTTAAGGTCTGCCGCTCATATTTCGTATATTACATAATAGATTTAACTGAAGTTCATTTGAAATAGCCGACTTTAGATATTTTGGTTCAGTGACCATGCACAAAAGAATTGCAGGCTCCGCGGTTTATTTCGCCAGTAAACGAGGGTCTCAATGGGGTTAACCGTGAGTCGTGAAACAGCTAAAAAATTAGCCGTGACTCGTAAAAATGAGAAAAAATAGCCGTGAAACGGCTGAAAAATTAGCCGTGAGTCGTGAAAATGAGGAAAAAATTAGCCGTGAGGCGTGAAAATGTCAAATTTTTAGCCGTGAGTCGTGATGCGGACCCCACCATTGAGACCCTCGTAAACCGCTTCAAGCTATCGTATACTGTTTAAATTGATTTTTAAAGTAACTCTACATAGCTTGATAATGGTGTCAAGACCACATCGAAGCGTCGCACTCTACTTTTTTTATTATAATCTACTTTTTTTATACGCGCGCACACTAATTTTCCCGCGTAAGACCCAGACAGACATCTCCTGCTAACGCAGTTATAATCGAATCAGTATCACGTCCAAGTCGTTAATAAATTTGAAAACAGTGAGCGCCTACCTGAAACCCTAACAGCAGACATGTGTACCATGGTGGATTGTCATCGATAGCATACGCTAGACCCAAAGCTTTGCTTCTTGACGACTTGGCCTTGGACTCTTCGCTGTCGTCGATTTTCATCTTGGTCTATATAGAGTACAAACATTAAATGTGCGCAACACTTTCCACTATTTACTACAAAATAGTGTTAATAAACAATAGAAAACAATAGAATTAGCATAATTTTAGCAGTATTTAGTGGTATTAATTTATGTTGCACAGTTTTAGAGTACAAACATTAAATGTGTGCAACACTTTCCACTATTTACTACAAAATAGTGTTAATTAAACAGTAGAAAACAATAGAATTAGCATAATTTAGC